CTGCGCCATCACCTCTGACATCACCGTCGCCTCTGTCATCGCCTCTGTCGTCAGCGTCACCTCTATCATCACCCATGGATGCATGTGTTCCCGACGCAAAGAAATCGTCGTCGTCGCTGGATGTGCTGTCGAACAAGAAGTCACCCTCGTCCCAACGCATGCGGGCCCTGCGAATGCCACCATCCGTCCGCTGTCGCCGAGTCCGAGGAGCGGAACCCGCATCGCCACGTGTACGTCCTCCGACACCTGCTCGTCCACGGCCGCCACGTCCCCGACCACCAGCCCTGGGTCGCCTCCTGTCCGACTCCGCCACCCGACGCTTGGCTCCCATGCGGGAAATGGCGAGCATCCTCTCTCTGGCGAGGCTCAACTCCTCCTCGGTCACCTTTGCCAGAACACCGGTGCCTCTGACGAGCTGCTGGTCCACGGCTGCCTCGTCCTCCACGGCCTGCCAGTAATGCACCCATTTTCCGAAGACGCCGGGCCTCTCTCCAACACCATCGTCGCACAACGAAGGTCGATCGAGTAGCCTGAGGTTCCAGTGGCATCGCACAAGCTTCTCAGCCCGGGGAACCTCCAACCTGTTGTGAGACTTCGAATGAATGAAGCTCTAACGAGACCACGCTCTCTCGCACGGTGAGGCGGTCGCCCATATACGAAGGATCCTGCCTGCAAACACGGCCGTGTGAGGGAACTTCGCCTTCTTTGAGGACCAAAAACTGGCAGGGTGATCAAAGATATCCGCAGCTCGCCGCATGGTGAGCTCATCGAAAGGGGGCTCCCTCGTGTGGAGCTTGGCGACCGCTCGTTGGAACTCCCGGTGCTGCGGCGAATCCTCCGGGTAGCCGAACTGGACAAGGGCCTCGACCAAGGCCTGCTGCACCTCCGCATCGTCACAAAGCGCCGCGTCCCGGAACTCTGGATCTAGCAGCATGGCTGCCGTGTGGGCGGGGGTCTTGAACATGGTGCGCCGCCTGTGGAACACCTCCACAATAGCGTCCTGCTGCTCCCGATCAATGTCACGACATGCGGATAAACAAAATGCAATCATTTCCTTGTAACGTCGCAGAATCTTGCTGATCTGGCGTGTGTCGCTGTCCACCAACTTCAGCATGCCCATGATGGGTTCTAGCATCTTGCACAGAGCTCTCAAATCCTCCCACCATGGAGGGGAGCTGATACATGCAGTGACCTCCGCTGCATCCTTGCGGATCTTGCTGGTCGATCAAACAGTCTCACGCCAGCGATCGTCGGCCACAACATCTGTCAACGCGGCCCGCAGTGCCACCAGCCTCTCCATCATGATGACGTTCGTGCCGAAACGCGTCTCCGCCGGTAGCAGAAGAGTCTTGCGCCTCAAGAACCTCTCTCGCATGTCCATGGCGCTTGAAGAACCTTGTAACCAGCCTCGCTTGAGAAATGCAGGAAGCCACCCAATCAATCCCGCCGATGTCCTCGAGAATGAGATCCATGATGTGGGCGACGCAAGGAATCCAGAAGATGTGTTTCACGCTCTCATCTTTTTGGAATACCTCCATCGCCGCGACGTTCACCCCGGCGGAGTCCGTCACGAACGCCGATGTCGCTCAATTGAACGTCCATGGACTTCACCCTTTTCAACTATGCATTCGCGAGGGCACTGACGTCCTTTTTGCCACGCATGACGTCGGTGGACGCATACACCACCCCGATCTTTGTACCAACAAGGTAGTTGCACAACGTCTGACCACGGATGTTGGTCCAACCATCGGTCTTGATTGTGCAACCGGTCTCTCTTGACGTGTCAAGCACCGGCCGAACACAGTTCTGGACCTCACCATCCAGCTCGTCCAAAAGGGTCGTGCGCAACATGTGGTACGAGGGAAGTCTAGGCGCGGGCGCCCCTGGAACCCCCGGCGGGATTATCATCGTGAACATGCGTTTGAAGCTTTCAAGCTTCGTGCTGTTGAACGGCATCCCGCTCTCGACGATGAACCGCATGATTTGCAGATGCCATGCGTGCTCCAAAGGGTCCGAATAATATGACGTGACGGCTTGCTGCCTGTAAGTGCCCCGACATTGTCCCGTCGTAGCTCTCCCGCCGAGAACCCCAGCATCCAACAACCCGCCAGGGCTCACAGGTGTCGCGCTTTGGGCGACTGCAAGGTCACGAATGTGCTGTAAAGGGTCTAACGTTCCGGTCAACACGGGTGGAGGCTGTGGGGCAGACCGACCACCGCCCGTGGTTGTCGGAACAGGGGTCGGCGATGAATCGAACACCGGAGCGGGGACCTCCTCGGCAGGCACCCCATGATCCACCTGTTCCCCGAAACGAGGCACGGAAGCAGAATGTCGAGCATCTACAGGTGCGTATGACTGATCCGGATGGACGGTTCCATGAGCGTGGTGGACCACTGGACGCTGCGCCGCTCTCGACGGTGGCGGTGGCAGCCAGGGGTGCTCCGACGAACTGCGGGGTGATGCGCCAGGTGCCACCGCAGTACCACCCCGTGCGGCATCTGACTGTCTAGCACTCCTGAAAACAGGGGCGAGCGCGGGCGCTGAACTGCCGGCACTCCCCCCCCACCTGCGACTCTCAATAAATGCACGTGTGCTCTCCTTGTCAAATGCTGCAGAGCCCACACCATCCCTCAGAGGCGGGGGCTCCTTGGCTGGCGTGGAACGACCAACTCCCACATCGCGAGCACCTCGTGTCCCAGCCAGCGGCGCAGACGGCGGGGCTGTCGGTCGTGTTGCAACTGTTGTTGCAGGACGCGGTACCGTGACTCGAATGGTCGGAGCCCCAGAATTGGGCGATGCGACGGCTCCAGAAGGGGCGGTGGGAGGAACCAGCGGCGGCACTGCGTCCTCGGGGAATCGAAGAGGTGGCCACTGCAAGCTCGGATGACCTGGGAAGTGGATTTTATTATTATTATTTTTTATATGAAAAAGTTTTTTTTTAAAAAATTTTGTTTTTATTTTTATCTTGAGAGGTGGGTTGTCTAAGGAAGGTTTTTTTCTGGGGGGGGGGCGTGGGGTATGCGAGTTTTATCGGGAAGTTATGGTGAGGGGGGTGATTATCGTGTGGTGGGTATAAGAGAGTTTTTTTTTTTTTTTTTACGTGTGTGCGTGTGTGTATATAAGTGTGTGTGTGGAAGTGAATCAGTATGTGTGTATGTGTGTGTGTATTGTGCGTGTGCTTGTGTGTGGGATTAGTATTCGAAGTGTATTATTTGCATGTACGTGTGTGTTATGTGTGTGTGTATCCGTGTGCAGGTTTGACTGAGGTGGTTTGCATTTGCGTGTGTGTGTGTGTGTGTGTGTGTGTGTGTGTATGTGTATGTATGTATATTTGTGTACGTATATGTATGTGTGTGTATGTGTGTGTGTGCATGTGTATGTGTGTGTGTGTATTTTTGTGCGGGTTTGACTGGGCTGGTTTGTGTTTGTGTGTGTGTGTGTGTGTGTGTGTGT